CTGTACAGTAGGTTACAAGTGGGTCACTGTATAATGGATGATATTAAATTTGAATTCAACGATATAATATCATTGTATAAGAAAAACGATTCTGAGCGGAGACAGTATGTCAGTTTAGGTATAAGACATATTAGATACATTATACATATCTATGGTACTAAACCAAAATTTGACCTATAATAGGTAGGTACCTATAATAAATTCCAAAATTAATCATATCAAAATATCCATTAGGTACTTATAAAGGTTACATCAACAAAAACCGTGATACTATCATAGATATATAATAGTACACTTTAGAAGTTTCAAGTACCTATCCACGAATAATATTATTCAATCACAACAAAATAACTAAAATAGTTATTCTAGGTTTTTTAATATGTAATTTCGTCCAAATTTGAATTTAAAATGTCTGTAAAAAATAACTGTGTTCATATATTTTTTAGATTTTTTGGTTACAGTATGAACTATTTACGAGAACCTTTGTGTTGAATTTGCAATCCTTAGCTATAAAAACTGAACATTTTATAATTTATTAATTACAATGATTGATAATTTTCGAGATTTTGATAAATTTTGTCAAAATTTGATCTTTAAATGTTTATAAAAAAAAACTGTGCCTATGTATTTTTAATATTTTTCAACTGCTATTGTAACAATATATCAGGAGCCTTGTATTAAATTTTTACACTTTTTGGCCCAACAGATAAAACTTAATTGATATTTATAGAAAAAAAAACTAAAAAAAATTGAAAGCTGTAAATGTCCATAAACAGCTCAAAAAGAGTCAAAATATTTTCAAAATTGTATGGTGTATAGAAAATGCTAATTTAAACATTCAGTGAAATTTTCATGTATCTACAGTTTTTCGTTTTTGAATTGCAACAAAATAAGGAAATCGCTACATGAGTAATCGAGTGAAAATCCAATGTTGTAAAAATTTGAATTTCAAACGCTCGTAAAAATTTAATTTGACTGTCGGGTAGAGATTTTTTATTGATAAAGGTATATAATCTTATAAGGAATCTTGTGTTTCATTTTCAAATCTTAGATTTAAAAAGAAAAATTTTTACGAATTCTTAACTTAAAATAATTTGCTAATTTTCGTGATTTTACCATATTTTGTCAATTTTTGAACTTTAAATGCTTATAAAAAAAAATTGTGACTAAGGATTTTTAATATTTTTCATCTGCCTTTGAAACAATATATTAGGAGCCTTCTATTAAATTTTCAAGCTTTCGCAACCAACAAATAAAATTTTATTAATATTTTTAGAAAAAAAACTAAAAAAAAATGGAAAATGAAAATGTCCCTATACAGTTCAAAATTAATCAAAATATTTTGAAAATGTTATCGTGTATAGAAAATGCAAATATAAACAACCAGTGAAAATTTCATGTATATACGTTCATTTGTTTTAGAGTTACACCAATAACCAAAATCGATTTTTTGGAAAACCAATTTTGCGTAAAAATTCCCGTTTTTCCTTAATTTTCATGTTGTTTTTCCCGGCGCTTGTGAAAACTACTGGGAAATTTATACTTTTGACCCCCCAAAGTACCAACTAGACTCACTTTCCTATCAGAAAAGCTACTGATGAAGAAAATCCAAGCACTTTTACTGTCCTAAAACGTGATGACAGACACAAAAAAAAAAGGTGGGCAAGTGGGTGTCGCTCTGCTGTACAGTAGGTTACAAGTGGGTCACTGTATAATGGATGGTATTAAATTTGAATTCAATGATATAATATCATTGTATAAGAAAAACGATTCTGAGCGGTGACGGTAGGTCAGTCAGCAGTCTATGTATCAGACATATTATATACATATTTATGGTACCTATTAAACAAAAAATTGACCTATAATAGGTACCTATAATAAATTCCAAATTAATCATATCACAATATCCATTAGATACTTATAACGCGTTATACATCAACAAAAACCGTGATACTATCATAGATACATAATAGTACACTTTAGAAGTTTCAAGTACCCACGAATAATATTATTCAATCACAACAAAGGTTCGTAACTAGTAAATTATTTATAAACTAAATAATAATAACTCATTAATTGAATTCATAATAATTATAAATAGGTACCTAACAACCATGTATATATTATATTGTTGTGATTAATGTAATGTAGGTTAATTTTGTAAATAAAATAATCATGTGAGGATAATATAATTTCAGGATGTTGTGAATATTGATTTAACATCATTGAAAGCAGAAATGTTGCTGACAAAAAATTGTTTACAAAATGTTGATATACTTGGAATAAAGAAAGTGGTGACTGAAGATGTTTTTCCAAACTTGTTTAAACTTATTCAAGTAGGATTAGCTATTCCTATAAGCTCAGCTACTTGTGAAAGGTCTTTTTCATCTATGCGCCGAATAAAGAATTGGCTTAGGACAAGCATAGAACAGTCAAAATTTACAGATTTGTCAGTTATTAATATTGAGAGAGATCTAAGCAATAAAATTTATAAAGATAAAATAATAAATAATTTTGCTATGTCTCTTTAGTATAATATTTAAATGAAAATAAAAAACGAATTTACCTGTATTATATATTTATTTTTCAAATATTAATAATTATTGATTAATCAGGTAGTATTATGAATGCATGAATGGTGTTATGAGGGGGGTGTGGGGGGCGAAGCCCCCCACGGGTTACTTTGGTCCACATAAATCTAGCACCCCATAAATTTAGCCCAAATTGCGCCTATGAACATTTTATAATTTATTAATTACAATGATTGATAATTTTCGAGATTTTGATAAATTTTGTCAAAATTCGATGTTTAAATGCTTATAAAAAAAAATTGTGCATATGTATTTTTAAAATTTTTCAATTGCTATTTTAACAATCTATCAGGACTGTTGTATTAAATTTTTACACTTTTTGGCCCAACAGATAAAACTTTATTGATATTTATAGAAAAAAAAACTAAAAAAATTGAAAACTGAAAATGTCTGTAAACAGCTCAAAAAAAGTCAAAATATTTTAAAAACTGTACAGTGTATAGAAAATGCTAATCTGAACATTCACTGAAATTTTCATGTATCTATATTTATTCGTTTTTGAATTACAACAAAATAAGAAAATCGCTACATGAGAAATCAAGTGAATATCCAATTTTGTAAAAATTTGAATTTCATACGCTCATAAAAATTTAATTTGACTTTCCGGTAGAGATTTTTTTATTGATAAAGGTAGACAATCTTATGAGTAATCTTGTATTAGATTTTTAAATCTTAGATTTAAAAAGAAAAATTTTTACGAATTCTTAACTCAAAATAATTTGCTAATTTTCGTGATTTTTCCATATTTTGTCAATTTTTGAACTTTAAATGCTTATAAAAAAAAACTGTGACTAACGATTTTTAATATTTTTCATCTGCCTTTGAAACAATATACTAGGTGCCTTCTATTAAAATTTCAAGATTTTTTAACCAACAAATAAAATTTTATTGATATTTCTAGAAAAAAAAATTAAAATAAAATGAAAAATGAAAATGTCCCTAAACAGTTCAAAATAAATCAAAATATTTTGAAAATGTTATCCTGTATAGAAAATGCAAATATAAACAACCAGTCAAAATTTCATGTTCCTATGGTCATTTGTTTTAAAGTTACACCAAAAACCAAAATCGATTTTCTCGAAAAACAGATTTTGCGTAAAAATTCCCGTTTTTCCTTAATTTTTCTTTTGTTTTTCTTGGCGCTTTTAAAAAGTACTGGGAATTTTAAATTTTGACCTCCCCAATGCACCAACGATATTCACTTTCCAATCGAACAAGATACTGAAGTCGAAAATCGAAGCATTATTTCGACTACTTATCGTGTACACAGACACAAAAAGAATAAAAAAAAAACACACACATCATTGTAAAATCAATACATTCATCGTTTCACTCAGAATCTAAAAAATGAAAAATTAAAATGTCCCTAAACAGTTCAAAATAAATTAAAATGTCCCTAAACAGTTCAAAATAAATTAAAATATTTTAAAATGTTATGGTGTATAGAAAATGCAAATATAAACAACCAGTGAAAATTTCATAAGTTACACCAAAAACCAAATTCAATTTTGTGAAAAATATATACATTCCATATAGCATCCATTATACAGTGACCCACTTGTAACCTACTGTACAGCAGAGCGACATCCACTTAACCACCTTTTTTTATCTCTATACTTATATTCCGCGAGTATAAAGACCGTACCCGTTTTCCGTTTACCGTATTTTTGTCTTTTGATGTTTTTAAATGGTATGAACCACTTATGAGAAACGAGGACCCTTGTATTAAATTGTTGAACATTTATTATTAAATTGATAATTTTATGATTTTATACAACTAGGTTATACAATAATTCATCTTTTTAATGAAATGAACATAGACAACTATAATATTAAAAATTACATAGTTAAATTTGTAATTTACAACTATTATAATTTATTAAAATACCCATAAAGAGCTTCGTCTGATTAATACTAAATAAATATTAAAATATGTTTTTCAGTTTTACACTTTTAAGATAAATTACAATTATTTACTGTACGACAAATAAATAAATGCGTTGCACCAAAAACAACTAAAACAACATAATATTCACTATATTCATTAAATAAATAAATGATATGTCATAAAACAAATGTTACAAAATTTATTATTTTATTTTTTGTTCGAATGAACAATAAATACCTATTATTATAGACCTGTAAAATTTATAAATTTGTTTATGTTTTCCTGGTAAATGTCAGAATAATAGTAAATCATCAAAAAAAAAAAAAATTTGGAAATCTTTGTGTACTTACTTGCTTTAATTGAACGGTATAAAACGGTGCACTCAATAACCAGTAATTATATTCATTACTAAATAGTATATGGTTTTTTTATTACTTATCTATGTACTAAATTAATTTTCTACTAATTTTTACTTGAATTAAAACAGTTTAAGTATCTATTAATAAAGATATAAAAGTGAAATGTACCTCATAAATAATTCCGGTTTATTTTTTTTAATTTTATTTACGTTGGCGTATGTGAATTGCGAAGAAAAAGGACCATATAATTCTCACGATGACAATGCACACAAAAAATGCAAGATTGATTGGGTTAAGGCTACTGATGGAGGTGGCTATATCGCTACTTGTGGTATTAAGTGTCAAACGAAATGCAGATATAATCAAAAGACGGACCAATGGCGTTGTAGAAAATCTAGTACAGGTTTAACCAAATCATGTGAATGTTGTAGAGGTGAGTTTCAAAAATTACTATTGTTTATTAATATTTAAAAACAAAAATATGTATATATGTTTATTTTCAATATTTATAGATAATGTTCCTGGCGTCCCTGTTCCCCCTTAATGAGAAAATGCACCTGCTACATATGGCTGAATACCGAATCTGTAATATAAACCAAAAATAATATGCACAGTTCCAAAAATGGGAATATTCAACTCAATCGATCGTCATATACTCATGTTTTGTAATAATAATATATAATTGGTATTTGTTTAAATTAAATAAACACGAATAATAATACTCAATATATTTCATGCATTAAATGAGTTTAAATGAATAATGTTGATCGAGCCAGATCAATATTATATAAATATAATAGATATTATATTATAATATATTATGAAGGGTTAAGGGGCAAAACGATCATAGTCAAAAGAAAGAAAAAATCAATTAGTTATAGTACATTTTGGTTAGTTTCATAACGAATCTATACGTGAATCGAGTTATTGAAAAAAGATCACGGTCAATGATATAATACATGTTTAAATATTTCGAAAAAAAAAGTCCGGGGTCCCACTTTAAAACTGCAATACTGAACATTTTAGGAATATTGACTATTATCGTTTTCCCCCGTAACCCTTCATATTGATGTATGATAATGCATTCCATATAGGTACTGACCGTTTTTAAGGAGTTGAGTATAGGCAATTTTTAGCTAATCTGTATAGTAAGTGCGTGCATGTGTGTGTGTGTTGTAAATTATCATTAGTGTGAGTAGTGTGAGTGACTTCCCTGTACCCTAGATAAGCGGTGCGCACTCGCACTCGTGTACATGTCACATTATGCCTAACAACAAATTTATTTCACGGCGAAATGTTGTAAATCATAGACCTAAACGAATTCCAACATACCGACTTGAGTTTTACTCCGATAATAATTTTGAAAACAAATGTTGTTTTGTTGTTCAATCAACTTTGGATCCTTCGAGCCACATTTTAAATTTATTATTCTTAAAAAGAAAAATCTCACTTCAAATTTAGAAAAAAAAAAATTGCAATGGACATAAATAGTTTTAATTTTTTTTTTTTATGATTCTAACTAAATTTTTATATTAGCATTTCCTATACACAATATAGTTTTGAAAATATTTTGATTTTTTTGAGCTATTTACGGACATTTTCAGTTTTCAATTTTTTTAATTTTTTTTTCTATTCATATCAATAAAATTTTATTTGTATGGTAAAAAAGCTTGAAAATTTAATGCAAAGCTCCTGATATATTGTTACAATAACACTTGAAAAATATTAAAATACATAGGCACAATTTTTTTTTATAATTATTTAAAATTCAAATTTTGACAAAATTTATCACATTTAAAATTTAATAATAATTTTATAGTTAAAAATTTATAAAATGTTCAACTTTTATAGCTAATGATTGAAAATTTAAAACAAGATTCTACGTAAATAGGTTATATATAAATTGCTTTATTCACCTTAGTATCATCAAATATACTTAGTAATATCATAGGCTGACTAACCGTCTTCGCTCAGAATCGTTTTTCTTATACAGTGATGTTAGTATATCATTGAATTCAAATTTAATACCATCGATTATACAGTGACCCACTTGTACCCTACTGTACAGCAGAGCACCTTTTTTTGTTTATCAAACTTAAATAACTTTTATTTTGGTTTTGATATCGGAAATATAAAAACAAAGTTACAGAGTAAATTTTCTCATTTTTATAGTGTGAACATTTAGTTTCTTAGCTTAGAGTAGAGCCTGAATGTTTTTTATACCCTTGCAAAACAGTTTTGCCTATGTTGTACCTACGTCTGCAATACGGAGACAACACAATATGTGGGTGTACTACGGTGTACCAGGTACTGTACCTATAGCGTCTTCTTTACAATCATACAGACTATTTGATACATTGCACTTTAGAAATTATTGTATACACTATACAAATTAAATCTAATGCAATGCAGAAATATTAGGATTAGGGGGGGTGTGGAGGGCAAAGCCCCCCACGGATCTGTGAACCATAAATTATCCCAGCACCCCCTAAATGCACACCCAATGTGCGCGTATGCTGGTTTATTGCAATAGTACCCCCACTATATAATTTTATCATGTTAAGGATAAAATGCCAGTGTAAGGGGGTGACCTATACGTAAGCTATTGACTGTACCCTTACGCTGCCATTTAACATTTTTGATAACAATATAGGATATACCTTATAAGTGGATATTAATGAAGGGGGCTTACGGGTACTTAGCCCCCTAAAAAGTCCGTCAAGCCCTGTCCATTTTTAGTTGTGTGGGATCGAAGCACCTCCACTCACATTGATCTTAATAATGTTAGCCCCCCCTTGACATTTTAATGGATATTGGCCTATGGGCTATTATGTGCAATAGGTAACCTTTTATATTTAAGCCACGGTACCTATAAAGTATAAACAGTAAACACCGATGAATGTACTGTAGACAGCATAAGAAACGTGCATAAGTATAGTGTCATGTAGAGACACTATAATAGATACCTACCATGTTTAGAATTCTGAGAGGAGCGATTAACAATATATACTTATTGGTTCTACAATGATGTGTATATGTGTGGTTTTTTTTGAGAAGTAAAAATGCTTTGGCTCTCATCTTTGAGTGTTGTTTGTGGTAGTAAATTGAATCTACCTAGTCGGTTATTTAGGGGTTTAAATTTGTAATAGTAAAAATTTCCAGTAAGTACCTTTCAAAAACCGAAGAAAAATAAAACTATGGGAAAATAGGAAATAGGCATTTTTAAACTAAGTGTGAACCATAGCGTATCTACTATGCCTATAGTAGGTAACGTACCTAAAAGCATTAAGACACCTTTACGGCTTACAACCTATAACATATTATATTGCAGCCTGCAGGATATTATATTGCAGCCTACAGGATATTAGACATCAACTGCAGGGCATGAAACCGCTGATTTTTCGGTTACCGAGTTCGATAGGACCCAAAAAAAATTTCGTAAGTGGTTACCAGTTTTAGGGGTTTTTATAATTAGTGGTTATTGATTACCAGTTAACAAAATTATCTCTAAAAATGTGGTTATCGGTTTGGAAGTGGTTTGAATTCTTCAAGATTACCGAGAACGGTGGTAACCACTCGGAAACGGTTTTTTCCATTTATGTTTTTTTCGGCAAATTTTAGTTTTACTTTAACTTACACAAAACAAATATCCACTTTATAAAATGGTTCAAGACTAGCTAAATTAAAAAATAAATACCTATATGGCTACATTTTATCATTTGAAGCTATGGATAAATATAAATTTAAATTAAATTATTAGTAAATTACCCGTAACCATAGATTGAAAAATAGTTCATTGTTCATTTAAAAGTGTTAATCACAATAAAATAAAATGAATAATAATATGTTCTATAATATGTCTATGAACCAATGAATCGTACTTATAGTATATCTACGATTGGTGCTTATTAGTGTATACCATCATTAATCGTACTTATTATTACATTACATTTATTATCTCGTAAATAAAATTATTAATCAAAAATATAGAATACAATTTCAAAAAAAAAAATATAAAAATATAAGGTTAATTTTTTTGATATTTACTGTTTTGTTGAATTGACCGTTTTTTTTTAAAAAAAAGGTTACCCCGAATTGTTAATCACTTCTTAAAATTTAAACTTGGCTGGTTTCCACTATATACGTATGCGTGTACGTGCATGCAAATCCTTTGCTGTGATTGGTTGGTTAGGATCAGTTACCAGTTACCACACGATTAACCACGATACTGTGTTGTTGGAAATAGCTGGACATTTTTCGTTTACACGGCAAACGTCTATTGTGGAAACCCACCTTTACAAACCGGGAAGAGGTTACCAACCAGACCTAAAATTGGTCATGGTAACCGGTTAATATATTAAATTATAAAAATATTGCAATACCTAATATCATGTGACGAGGAAATATAATCATGGTACCTTTTATATAATATTGTGTGCATACCATACTATAAATTATTATCTATGGATCTCGTGAAACAATAATAATTAATAGGACGTATTAGACACGGTGTCCGGCGGCCGAGAGAAAACGAAATGAGATAAACATTTTTTATAAGTTACGACAGCTTACCGCTTACCTATAACTTAGTGTAATAGTCGAGCGCACCTACTGCACGGCGACGGACCACAGGACCGACTACGCGTGGCCGGTCGGTCTATCAGTCGGTAGGTGCAATCACGGCGTGGCGTAGTGCCGTACCATAGCGACTACGCGTACCGCATACGGCAATGCAAAGAGGTTGGAAACAGTGGACCGGCGCGAGTGGCGCGCCGGTCGAGGGCCTATTGATCGCGGGACCGACGTGTGTGCGCTAGCGGCCGGCGGCGGCGGGCGTATCCTCTCTCCGACCGGGCCCCGCGCGTTGAGTGTGTATGTGAGTGTGTGTTTGTGTGTGTGTGTTTGTGTGTGTGTGTATCAGCCCGTGGGTCTGGTAGTTGCTTGCTGCTGCTGCTGCTTGTGCCTGCGATTCGCCACGCCGGGTTTTTGCATTTCACTTCGTTTCCATTTGCTGTTGTTTCGTTGTTTTTATTAAATTGTGATCGTAATATTATAATACAACAGGCATATTTTAAAGACCCGTCAGTTGACTTTTGATTTTTTTTTTTATCCGTTTACACCTTCCGTTTCTAGTTTGACTTTAAGAACACGCGTAACGCTTACGTACGTGTTAATAAATGGATGTATTTCACTCCACAACACAAAACAGCAATAATAATAACATTTTATAAGCGAGGAATCAGTACGCTTACCGTCATCCGACAAGTAAATAAACACCAAGGTTGAAACTTACCATTAAAGAAGAAAAATTCCTATATAATTTACACCGGTTTGGTACAACTACCGATGATTGACGTTCACGTGACAATCACGACAGACGACCGACCCCTGCCACAGTGTGTGATAAGCTTCGTCTAAATTCCGTCGTTCAAATCAGTCCAACAGGTTTCCGGTGAGTTGTTCGTTTCAAATGATAATATGGCATATATCGAGGTGTATTAATTGTTTTTTTTTATAAATTTACCTTCCAAACAAATAAAACCC